GATGCTTATCTTGCTAGGATCCTATGATCCCCGTTGACTTCCTGCCCATGGGGCAGAGGGCTGGACTGGATGATCCTTCGAGGTACCTTCCAGCCAGAATGCCTATGAAATCTATGAAATAATGGAGTGGTTTGGCAGTAGTGGAGGTACCAGAGATTCACCTTACTCCTGATACTGCAGTAACCATTGTACAGAATAAGGAAAGTGACTGTCTTCAGCTTCATGCTTCCACTAGAGCAGTGGTTGTCAACCTTTTTAGGCTCAAAGTACCCCTCATTAAACTCAAGGTACCCCTCAGAAAATACCAGCTCTTGGTTTACACTTTTCTGTTTATGGAAAAAAAATAGAGCATTTTTGCTGTTGCAAGGAACCAAAAAATAAAGACCAAAACAGATCAGAATGTCTTTGATACTATGTATTTCTCTCTGAAATCTCCGGGTTTATTATGTTTCCATACCTAACAGTACAAATGTGGCACCCAATGGTACCCTTGAAGGGATCTTAAGGTACCCAGGGTGCCGCAGCTCCCTGGTTGAAAATAAATAAATCGATTACTGTAAATTTTATGCCCCTATCTACCAGTAATGTGATGGGCCAAACATTCAGGCTAGCCTTGGAATTGTGGATCTGATGCAATTGTTGCCATATTTTTAGATGGTCAGACACACCAGTCCTGAATTTTAAAAGCCAACTTTTACATGCAGCGAAAGCTAAATGAATCAGGGTCTATACATCTTTACCAGTGTAAGCAGCTTTAGTGAACATTTCCTGCATTGCAGTTACTACATCCAAGTTATCCAAGGTAAGTTAAAGCAACTATGGGTTAGATTGCTTCTACTTTTACAACATAAAGACAGTCTTTCCTAGGTTACAACCTCTTCCCCTGCCAATCCACTGCTACTAAAAATTCTTTCCTGACCATAGCGCCACATTCAATGCCTATCAGATCAATTTATATTTTCTTTGCTCCCATCAAGTGTCTGTAAAAAATCTACTTAAAAATGAGACCATCTTTTATTTGGACTCTCATTATGCCTTTATTCTGAAAGAAATGTCAGCACTATCACAATTTCCTCCTTCAGCAAGGCCTCTTCTACAGAGCCTGTGTATGTAATGGAGTGAAAGAAAAATTTCAAAGTGAAGTTGAAAAGAAAATGTTTCTGCAAAATTTCCCAGCATGTCTTATCTTATTTTATTTCATCGTATCCAGATTTTAGGTAAGATCCCTGGAGCAAGAATATTACACCTCCTTCAGTGTTCCAACAATGCTTTATTAAGATATCTTCTTAAAAGCACTGAATAAATTTAGACAACCTAGCAATCAGCCAACTGAAACTGAACAAATTAGGTAAATTTCTTAAAGCGTTACGCGCCCTAGGATACTTAGCTAAAAACTAAGTAGAACAATTACTTTAAAACTGTTACGGAAATGAAGCAGTCACTTAAAGAGAAAAGTGAAGAGCAAACCTCTGGAGCAGACAAGTAAACAGAAGTAAGAGACCAAGTGAAAAAAACAGTTAAATTCACCAAGAAAGCTGTTGCCACCAAGAAAGCTGCCCCAGAGTCTGACCCACAGCCTCTTTCACTTGCCTCAAACTGTGGCTCCAGGTCTGGCCCCTTGTTATAATTTTCCATGTATAGAACCTAATCCTTGGAGGGTTATCTTACATTTATCACTCCCAAAGCTGCAGCAGGGAGCAAGCAGTGGGTAAATATGGTACATCTTTGAATAAGCCAAATACCCCACAACCTACTACAATACAAAAAACCCCAAAACCTACTGACCACATTCCCCACAATTGTCATGTACCATACCACTTTGAAACCTAAGCCAGACCTTTAAATAAATGTAACCTACACCTGAATAGGATCACACTTTGAGAGATATTCCTATCCCCTTTCCCTCTTGCAGCTGCTTTTCAAACAATCTCCAACCTTGCTAAACTCAGAAATCAGAAGCGAATTCCCCAGCGACGAAAACACATGCCAAGAGGAGTAAGACCCTGCTGAAACATACGCAATACCTGCCAACATTGCAACAATCGACACACCCTTCAATCAGAATCAACAGATCCTAAAAGCTGCCACACTGCTGCTAGGAGGCTGGGCTGGAACAGCAGTGCCAGTTCCAGGCCTCTGCTATAAGGCCAGGCTGTAGTCACACTCCTTGCCCCAGGCTGCAGCAGGAATAGAGCCTGACAGCAAGGAACAAAGGTAAGTGGGGTGGGGGGGGTGGAAGGGCAGGGACATGAGGCTGTAAGTGGCAGAAGCAACCTGGAGGGGTAGAGGGAGGGGAACAGGGGAAAGAGGAAAATCAGGGCAGCCTGAGGCTGCGGAGAAAGGGGGTGGAGGTAGACAATAGGAGGTAAGGGGGGGTGGCAGCAGGGGCCTAAGCTGCCTGCCTCCTTCTGCCTGTCCCACTAACACCCCTCCCATCTGCCCTACCGTCTGCCCCATTACTGCCCCCTCATCATCTCTCCCCCACCACCACCTGCAGTAGTGGGGAGAGGTGAATTTAAGATGATTCCCCAATAATTAGATTCCATATATGGAAAATAATAAAATTCTATAATACATATAAATTTGAATAAATAATAACATTTATAACATTTTCCACATGTAGAATCTAATTATGGGGGGGTCAATCTTACAGTCAGGGTTGTCTTGTTTTCAGGTAAATATAGTACATTTCCTGAACCATCACAGCTACTTAAGCAATGTATTGCTTATAACCTACAAATAATAACCAACTGGTGATATTCTAATCTTGTTTTAAGAAAGCTACAAGGATGAAGATAGAATTTGCACAATTCTGTCTTGCAGCCACCAGCAAAAAGAAAAACATGGTGATTAGAGATGCTCTGCCCTTGCAAGGGTAACCAATAGTCCCAACAGACACTGCTGGCCAAAAGAATCAGGGTATCTGCATACAAGGTGCACATATTAGATGGTTAGCCATGTTAGTCTTAAGGTCAGGCAGAAAGTAAACCAGGGTAGCAGGTGACTGGCAGTTCAGAAAGGCATAAGACTTCCTAGTTAACAACCTACTCCTGGTATCCAAAGTAGGTTGTTGCCTATGAAAGCCCCCATTTGAACCAGTTCATCTCTGTGGTGCCAGTCTGCTTGACATTTACTGAAGTATCTACATAGACAAGTACTAAAACATTTTGGAATATTCTGTACCAGTCCGGTCCTGCAGGGAACAAACCAGAAGAGCCAAGGCTGCAGCTGAACTCCAACTAGCTTTGAGCATC